AGAGAGAGAGAGAGAGAGAGAGAGAGAGAGAGAGAGAGAAGAGAGAAAGAAGCATATTGTCAGTAAGTATACAAAACCTGGGATCTACCTGAACTTGGTCATATCATGTACGTCTGCATGTAGAAAATGCTCCAGGAATCAGAGATCATGAAAACAGGACCCTGGGACTCACTCACCCTGTTTCAAACCTCACTAGATGAACTGAGCAAATTATTCTCTCTTTGGTCTCAGTTCAGGAAGTCAAGATGATCTAGTATACCTATCTCATAAAACATTGCCAGTTCACATCAAATTTCAATGTCTACATAACTAAAGTCCATTAAAATCTGTAAATCCTTGTAACTCAGAGTAGACTGTGATCTTGGGAAGTTGCTGGCATCAGTCTGCTCAAGAGCAGCCAAACCAAACCTATCACAAATATGTTCTCTCCTTACAGGCTCCTTAGAGTGCGACTGAGCTATCCCAGACCCTGCTGCAGGAGGTTAAAACAGCTTCTTCAATGGCCACCGTGTGAAAACATGAAGAAGCATTGTTAAAGCTCACTTGATAGCGCATAAACAAAAATGATGAAAAATCTAGATCTTTATCAAAGAGGATCTGATCCTTGCTTTTCTTGATTTTGTTTTTAAAGATTAGAAACCAGCCATTGTGGCCTTTCCATACAATTCCAACATTTGGGAGGTGGAAGCAGGAGGATCTGGAGTTTGACTTACAAGGGGAGCCCCGAGGCAACAGCTGCTGTGTCCTGTGGGCCTTGTGCATGTGTCTTTGCCACCTGCTCTTCCTGAGGTCATTTCTGTTAGATCAAGAACACAGCTCCCAAGTAGACTCAAACCTGTGAACATATCTGTCATTCTTTTGGTCTGAGATGTAATCATTACTGTTCTTTCTCCCTTCATTGTATTTGAGGTTCTTTTCATTCAATTCCAGTTTTACTGAGCATACTATCTACAGGATAACATGCATTGAGTCCTGGGAACTGGATCTTAACAAGACCCTGATGGAAACCCAGAGGCTGAACTCCCCATGGAAGTGTTTACAGGATGCTTGTCAGAATTAGACCCTTGAAGTTTCCGGATATTGCAGTCATTTTGGCTACCATGCCGAGCATTCTGTCTCTCCTTTCTGCTTCTGCCTGACCTGACAGCTGTAGCTTGTCATTCCATTTCTTCCTCAAGGTGGAGCTGGCCTGCATGACCCTTCCAAACAAATATGCAGAAGGGCGTGAATTCTAGTGAAAAGTATCTGCCCTGTCGTTTATGCCTGCAATTTTTGATTGTAGGATATAGAAAACCAGTAGTACGCTGGTGGTTACAGAAGAAATCTTCCCACCCAGTTCACTGAAATTCCTAGAATGGAATGGAACCAGGTCTTTATGCTAAAGGTATGAAAACATCTGCCAAATGGAACGGGGAGGAGAGGGGATAGTATTGTTCCTAGGTGCTAAAGCCTTCCATGTATAAACTGGGAATCAAAGGGTAGAGGTGCTTCTCTGAGACAGTAAAATCTGAAAGATGGAAAGTTTTATAAGAACCTCATTCAAGCGATCGGATTTTTTTTTCTGACATTTCTGGGCTTGAATCCAGGATCTGTACAAACCAAGCAAGTGCTGTATCACCGAGCTTCATGAACCCCAGCTCAAATAATCTGACTTTTAAAAAAATTTTGAAATTCCAGTTCAGAGACAAATATTAATATGACTAGAGGGAAAACTTTGATAAAGTCTCAAGATATTTCAAGAGAAAATAGTGTGTTTTAAAGTAATTCTTTTTAGGATTGGAAGAGGCTAGAAAAGCCAGCAAGACAAGAAGGGAACCATCTGGAAGCTGAAGACCAACTTCCAGCAGAAGGGCACCAAGTTTACATAGTCCTTAGTATCACTATTTGCTGAACTTCTTTGTGGTTAAGGGAACTTCTTTGTGAACGTCTTTGTGGTTAAGGGAAGAGAAAAGATAATACACAGAGGCTGGCACAGAGGCTGGAGAATTCACTTAGTTGCCAGTGCTCTTCCTGCTTAGGGTTCTTGGTTCCTTGACTTCTTGTAGCTCATGGTGGACTCCAGAGAACCTCACTCCCAAGATGCTAGCCAAAGAAGGCAGCTGAGGTATGCCAGGAGCAGGTGGAAGAGCCCAAGATGTCACCCTGGGAGTAGCTTGCCTCAGTCTAAAAGTAATCAGAAAGCCATAAACAGTTCATGCATTTGCATGAACTCTGTTTTGTATCCTGGTGCGCCTGTGTGATTGTTTTTTTACTGTTTCTTGTAGGATTCTGGTCTTGAAAATGATGACCAATCATAAGTCACTGTGGGTGCTGCTGTTTCTAGTTGCCTTCTGGATCTCTTTTACAGTTTTCTCAAACCCCACAAAGGTAGGAACTGCTTTCTCTCTGTGTTTTACAAAAGTGTAGTTTTCATTGATATGTAGTCTTGGAAAGTTCATCTTCTATACCTATGGATTATAGCTGAGGGGTTTCTACAGCTTCTCCATTAATAACCAAAGTAGCTGATAATTGTTAAAAACTACTATCGCCAGTGTGGAGGCATACATCTTTAATCCAAGCACTCAGGAAGCGGAGGCAGCTGGATCTCTGAGATTAAGGTCAGCCTGGCCTACAGAGGTAAGTTCCAGGCCAGCTGGGGCTACAGGGAAACTCTCAGAAAAAAACAAAACCAAACAACCAACAACAAAAATCTGTAATAGCTGAGAGAGCACTGTACTCGGCTTACACTTCCTGTCGCTAGAATACGCCTTGCAGCTGTCGTTTTACATCTGTAGCCTGTGTTTTCATTTCTTTAAGGGAACTTCAGAAGAATAGAATACTTTTAGGTACTAAAAATTATCTTCCTTTTAAAAATAGTTGATGATTTTCAAAAGGAAACATTTCCCTACTCCAATATCACGTTTTCTAAATAGCTACTAAAACTTCTAAATGTAATTTCTGACATTTAAGCTTCTAAGACACATGTTTTATTTTAATTTGGGTTGGGAATTTTGTTTGCTTTTTGGTTTTTTGTTGGTTGGTTGCTTGCTTGTTTGCTTGCTTTGGAAGTTTTTAGTGAGGATTTTGGTGGGTTTGGGTTTTTTTTGTTTTTGTTTTTTTGTTTGGTTTTTGTTTTGTGGCCATTTGTGATTTGTTTTACTGGTTTTTCTTTTATTTTCCTATGGAGAGTCACTTCTCTACCTCCTTTAACTTAGTCTCTCCAGAGCAGGTATCTATTGGAGTACATCAGTTGTTCACGTGGCAAAGGTCCCTTCCAGCCTCTCCGTTCTCTTCCACTGTCAGCCTTCCCTGGGCCACATATTCATTCTACTGCTCTGACTGGTAGCAGTGGCTTCCAATTACTTCCGAAAGGTTGAAGGTCACTGTCCCACAGCCTGTTCTATTCCAGAAGACCCCCTAGTCTCTACCTTTCCTTATACATTTTTAATTATCCTACTAAATTTGAAGAAAAACTTTATTTAAATTATACATAGTATAGTGCCACATGCTTTTAATCCCAGCATTTGGGAGGCAGAGGCAGGCAGATCTCTGAGAACCAGGCCAGCCTGGTCTCCATAGCAAGTTCCAGGACAGCTGAGGACACAGGGAGACCTTGTCTCAAAATAAAAATTATATATATATAAGAGGAGGTCAAATCAGAAAATGGATGTGTTTATGTTTGGTGCTTTTGTTTTTCTTTTTTCTATTTAGCAACATATATTAGGTCTTCAGTATCTTTTAGTAATTTTTAGTTTTTACTTACAGGTCTTATAAATTTGTTAAATTTATATCAAGGTACTTTATATAACGATATGCCGTTAGGTTTTTTTTTTCAAGAGTGTGTGTGTGTGTGTGTGTGTATCTATGTGTACATATCTGTGTGTCTGTGTATGTGTGTGTCTGTGTGCCTGAATGTGTGTATGTCTATATGTGTGTGTCTATTTGTGTGTGTCTGTGTATATGTGTATCTGTGTGTATGCAGGTACCATGGAGGTCACTGATCAACTTTGGTTGTTTCTCTGGTAGTCTATCTTGCCATTTGGGGGTTTTATAGACAGGACTTTCTGTATAGTCCAGGCTGACTTTGAACACAAGCACATATTACCATACTTAGTGTGGGTCTTCCCTTCTAGTGGGGTGTTTAGATCATTCACATGTAATAAAATTACTCTTAGAGCTGATGTAATCTACCACTCTGCTATTTCTTTTGTTTAGTTAGTCCCCATTTTTGTTCGTCATGTGTATTTTCTGCTTTATTTTGAGCTAATTGATTTTCTGTTCTGTCAGCATTTCCTTTTAGCTCCCATTTCATTTTTCAGAGTTCTCTTGGGATTATCCCACACACTTTTTTTGCCTTTTTAAGTATTCAAATTTAATTTGTTATAGGAAATATGTGGCTCTTTTGGCTTTTATTATTTTAAATCATTGTTATAACTAGTTATATTCTTATGCTTTGCTTCTTTTATGTGTATTCTATTGAGTTTTTGTGTATTTCATATAATAGATGTTAATCAAATTTAGACTTCCTCCCCTTCCACATTCCCCCATACCCCCCTGATTTCATGCATTCTTTCATATATGTTAAGGCCCATCTATCTGGTCAAGCATTTGTACCCAGATGTCCCTCAGTGTATGTTCATCCGTTAGAGTCTAGACAGTCTATCTAGAGTCTCCATTAAATATCAACTTTCCCACACCCCACAGTAATCAGTTGCCAATCAATTGGGGTGCGCTGCCCACTTCCCCAGTTCTATGCTGAATTTTTTCTGGTTGAATCTACATGAGTCTTGTACATGTTGTCACCATTGCTGCAAGTTCACATGAGCAAGTTCCCAGAGGCCTGAAAACCTCTGTTTCCTTATGCTCATGCACCAACCCTGGCTCTTCCAATCTTCCCACCCCCTGTTCTGCAATGGTCCCTGAACCATGGGTGGGTGAGATTTAATATAGGAGTACTATTCAAGGACACAGTCTCTGCACTCTTATTCTCTAAAACTTGGCCAGTTGTAGGCTACTGTGTGCATTGCACTCTGTTATAAGAGGAAGCTTCCCTTGTGAGAGTTGAGAGATGCATTAGTATTCCTCTATCCCTGTTCCACTATGTTCCATGAGCCTTAGGTGTAGAGATTCCACTGTAGATGTGTCACTTAGGGCTGGGAGATTCTCAGATACTTATTCTCTGTGTATAACCAGTTGTGGAACTCAGTAATAGTCTCCATCTGTTGCAAAAAGAAGCTTCTTTGATGAGTGGTGACTGGCGTACTTATTTGTAAATACAGGGATCCATATTCAGTAAGAAATTGCATTTGTCTAGAGGTATGACAGACGTAAGGTTTTCTCTAGGATTTAAAACTTTTCCAGCCATATGTATTTGGCTATGTTTACAGTGCCACACATGAGTTCCCTCCCATTGAGAGGGCTTTAAGATAGCTGTTGATTAGCCCCAAGAAAAAAGTGCCACTACTGAACTCACATAGTTTGCTGTGGTTATTAGGCTTTAAAGCTTGGGTTGAACCACTGATTGATTATCTCCCTTAGAAGTTTGCATAGTAACCTCTGAAACTCTGAGAGCTAGTCTTCAGGGAGGAGGCCTTCAGGTCAGTTCCACCTCCATTGCTCCCAGTCCTGTGTTTGAAGTAGGTCTTGTCTTCAGCAATAGTTTACCATAAAGCTCTAGGAGGAAATCAAGGGCTGTGGCAATAGCCTGTGTTATTTTGGGAGTCTCTTGGACTACCCTGACCAACAACTCGAAGGGAGGTGTCTCCTGACTGGCGCTGTGTTTCTTGTTATATCACCTTCAGTTATACACATGAGCTCATGTACAGATAGTGTCTGTGTATTTTTCAGTAGGCTTTTGAACTAACACATTTCCCTCTGTTTTTTCACACCACCTAAGCATTATTTATCAAAACACAGAAACATAGTTTCGGCCTGTAACCGGGGTTGGCCTTAAACGGCTGTATTGCTCCAGCTGTCCTCAAACCTGCAGTCCTCCTGCCTCAGCTTTCACTGCATTTACAGACTCTTTTTATTAAAAATAATTTGTTCAGGGGCTAGAGAAAAGGTTCAGAGGTTAAAAGCACTGGCTGCTCTTACAGAGGATCCTCATTCAGTTTCCAGAATCCACATGGTGGCTAATAATCATCCATAACTGCAGCTTCTAGTGATCTGATGCCCAGTTCTGGCATCTTAAACAGCCCATGCATCTTAAACATTTCCTTTGCTATGTGGCAGAGAGATGCCACATTATTATAGCTGTGGCTAAACAAAAACAACCTGACCCCCTAGCATTGGTTAGAACAAGAGTGAGCCTGATCTGTTCTGAGAACTTGTTCTGAGAACTTGCATGTACCTCATTGAATGAATTTGGGAGTATCTTTTTTTCTTAAAACTTTCAAACTGATTGGCATTAGTTCTTCTTTAAATGTTTATTTTAATTCATTGCCTATTAAATCCTGGACTTTTCTTTGATGGGAGACATTTTATTACTGATTCAATCACTTACACATCGCTGGTCTGCTCAGACTTTGAGTTTCTCATGGTTCACTCTTGGTAGCTTACATGTGTCTAGGAACTTACTCATTCTTCCAGTTTATCTAATGTGCTGGCATATAATTGACATAAGTAATCTGTTCTTTTTCATTTATGACATAAAGTTGTAATTACTTTTTTTAACTTTTTTTTTTTTTGTCTTTTTGAGACAGGGTCTCTCTGTAGCCCTAGATGTCCTGGAACTCACTATGTAGACCAGGCTGGCCTTGAACTCATAGAGATCCACCTGCCTCTGCCTCCCAAGTGCTGGGATTAAAGGTGTGCGCCACCATGACCGGCTTTTTTTTTTTCTTTAATTTTAAAAAAGTTTTTTTTAAAAAATTTTTTTATGTGTGTGCGTGTATTGCCTGCATGTATGTAAATGCACCCGTGTCGTGCAATGCCTACAGAGGTCAGAAGAAGTTGTTGGATCCCCTGGGACTGGAGTTACAGACAGTTGTTAGCTGCCATGTGGATGCTGGGATTCAAACCTGGGTCTTCTGCAAGAACAATCAGTGTTCTTAACCACTGAGCCACCTCTCCAGCCCCTGTAATTACTTCTTTCACATTTCTGATTTTATTCACTTTTTCCCTTAGTCAGCCTAAAGGTTTGCCCATTTGTTTACATATTTTCAAAGCCCAACACTTCATCTCAGTGATCATTTCTATTGTTTATTCTGGTCTGTGCTTCATTTATCTGCTCAGGTCTTTACTATTTCCTGCTGACTCTGGGCTCGGCTTGCTCTTTTTTTTCTGGTTTTTCAGGAGTAGCACTAGCTTGTTTGAGTTGTTCTTTTTTATATGGGTGTTTACGACTAAAATCCTCTTGGAACTGCTTTGCCGAATCTCATAGATTGATGTTGCTTATTTTTCCTTGACATTTCTTTGACCCATTGCTCATTCAGGATATGCCATTTCATCTGTGTGTACTTGAAATGTTCTGAAAATCCTCCTGTTGCTGATTTCTAGTTTCATAGGCTTATGGTTAGAAAAGAGATCACATATGATTTTTAACATTTTATTTATTATTTGTATGTGTATGAGTGTTATGCCTGCATATGTATAAGTGCACCCATGTTGTGCAATTCCCACAAATGTCAGAAGAGGGCGTCAGATCCCCTGGAACTGGAGTTACAGACTGTTAGCCGCTATGTGGGTGCTGGGAATCAAACCCAGGTCCTCTACAAGAGAAGCCAATGCTCTTAACTGCTGTGCCATCTCTCCAGCCACAATGACTTTAGTCTTGAGTTCATTAAGACTTGTTAGGTGTCTTACACATGACCTAGCAATGATAGCGTTTTGAGAACAATGAGAAGAATGCTTCTGCTGCTGTTAGAAGGAATGTTTCATATATGTTTGTGAAGTTCATTTGGTCCAAAGGGTAGGATTTGAGCTTTCTTTTTTTTTTCTTTTTCTTTTTTTCCTCTCTCATTCTGGGAATCAAACCCAAGGAGTTATACATACTAGACCAGTGTTCTATCAGTATGCTAAATCCCAAGGCCAGCTAAACTATAGCTTAATTATGGTGTATTTTATAGGTTTCATGTCTATAAATGAAAACGGGATATTGCCATCCTCTGCTGTTACTGCCATCGTCTATTTACTGTTATCATCTATTTCTCCCTTTAGATTTATTAATATCAGCTTTATATCCCTTTATCATTACATAATGACCCTTTTCTTGTTTTTCCTTTTTTGTCTTAAAGACCGTTTTGTCTGATTTAAGTCCAGCTTTCTTACAGTTTCTGTTTCCATGGGGTGTTTTGGTTTTTTGTTTGTTTGTTTGTTTTGTTTTTTTCTATCTCTTCACTTTCAACCTACATGTCTTCTTACAGATTGGGTGTGTTGTGCTCAGTCTATAATTGGGTCTTGCTTGTTTGTTTTGTTGTTACTGCTGTTTCTTTTTGGTATCCATTAAGCACTCTGTCTTGATGGGAAATTTTGATTTATTCTGTTCAAGGTAGGTATTGATAGGTAAGGAGTTACTGCAGCCATTTTGTTTATTATTTTTCTAGTTAGTTTGTAGACATTTGTTCATTGTTTTCTATGCTTGTCATCTTTTAATATTTTTATGTTTATAAGTGTTTGCCTGAATGTATGTGTATGCACCACATGCGTGCCTGGTGTTCATGGAGGCCAGAGGGGGTGTCAGATCCCCTGGAGTAGGAGTTAAAGGAGATTGTGAGCCACCTGCTATAGATGCTAGAAACCCAGATCAGGTCCTCTGCAAGAGCAGCCAGTCCTTTTAACCACTGAGCCATCTCTCCAGATCCTTATCACTTAACCACTTATCATTTAACCCGTATCATTTATCACCATCATTTTAGTGAGGATTCTAATCAGGACTGTTTGGAGTTGAGTGGCTGTTTCAAAATAGGTCAGTGAAAACTGAGTGACACTAACAGAGTTTCTAAACACAGGTGTTTGTGTATGAAGCAAGCATGATCACAAAATTTCTGTGTCATCTAATGCCTGTGCCGCTCATTCTATAAAACACAAAAGTTCACTAACCTACAAAAACAAAACAAAACAAAACCCTGTTACATTAAATAGCAACTATTTCTTTGTTCTCTATTTCTTGACATTCCAGTTATGGGCAACATTCAAGTTACCTGTCTCCCTCAGTCACTGGAACTTAGTCATGAAGTCCTCATGCCCTGAAGTGCCTCTGAATTCATCAGTTTCACCAAGAGAGACAGAGCTGAGAGTCAGGGAGATCCTGGAGAAGCTGGACCGGCAGATCCCACCCAGACCCTTCACCCACCTCAACAGCACCACCAGTGCCAAGCACAGCACAGCCACCATCCTCAACCCTCGATACACATACTGCATAGGGGACCAGCTGGACGTCTTCCTGGAGGCCAGGGACTACCTGGGACGCAGGAAGGAGTACGGTGGGGATTTCCTGAGGGCCAGGATGTTCACCCCAGCCCTGAAGGCAGGTGCTACTGGAAAGGTGACAGACTTCAACAACGGCACCTACCTGGTCAGCTTCACTCTGTTCTGGGAGGGTCCAGTCTCCCTGTCCATCCTGCTCATCCACCCCAGTGAAGGGGTGTCAGCTCTCTGGAGGGCGAGGAACCAAGGCTACGACAGAATCATCTTCACTGGCCAGTTTGTCAGTGGCACCTCCCAGGTCCACACTGATTGTGCCTTTGTTTTAAACACAAGTGCTGAGCTGTGCCAGTATCTGGATGCTCAGGACCAGGAAGCTTTCTATTGTGTGAAGCCTCCAAATATTCCCTGTGCTGCACTCACCCACATGCATTCCAAGAACAAGAAAGTTTCCTATCTCAACAAGAAAGAAAGGAGCCTCTTCGAAAAGTAAGTAGTTATCGTTTTGGATTACCTAGGCAAATGTGGTCATTTGGACTGAGGAAAAGTACCCTGAGTGTGTTATGTTTGGGACTCTTTAAGAAGAGTCCTTTGGGAACGGACCTGTGAATTTATCTGGGCATAGTAGTGTTCACTCTCCAGGGATCCTCAGACTTTTAAGATATGCAGTCCCTATCAGTGAATCCAAAAGTACAGGCTCAATAAAAACTAAAAGATTATGAGAAATATTTGTATATATGCCAATGTATTCTCTCTGAATCTCAATACATTGCCTTGCATACTTCTGGGTACCTGTCTCCTGTGGACTGAGAGACAAAGAAATGAAAATGCAGCAAATGGCCTGAAATCCTAGACATAGAAATTGGATTACCATGATGATACTAACAGAAGCACTAGATAGTTTTGGTTCTTTGAACATGTTCTGGTTTGAGGTCTCTGCAAATTAATATCTGTATCTGTCTCTTTAAGGTCAAATATAGGCGTGGAGATGATGACAAAATCCCCTGTGATTAATGTCTACAAATGCAACAGTAAGTGCTGCTGTGCTTGGTGGGTGAGGTTTAATACTGGAGCCCTTTAAGAGACTTTCTCTCTCTGTTGGACTTGATCTCTGTGTTGCCTAAGCTGGGCCAAGACACAGAGTCCATAAATGCCATCATGAGGTTCTCTGCTTTAGAAACTCCATCTCTCATCACCAGTCTACTTCTCAGGGAACAGGTTACCTGCCCATATTACACAATAACCTTCAAGTTTTAAATTCTCTCCCAATTCTTTATCGCCCTACCACTCTCTCCTGCCTACCAACACTACCACCTCCCTAGAGTTATCATGTAGATGTCTCTAGCCTTCCATCTAGGAGTCAATTCACTACCCTGATTCTCTCTTGATCTTTAAGCCCATTTTTACAAAATAGAACTTCCACGCATGATCACCAGTTTTTCTTTCATATATTTGATTCTAAACAGCCTAGAAACCCCATCTAAAACAATTTAAGGCAACAATATCCTTATCTCCCTAGGTTAACATGACAAGTTTGCTAATTGCTGAAACACTTTTCCATACTGAAGTAAAAATATGTTCCTGATTTTAGACGTGGCATGTAGTGCTAGCCTACCACGCACAAAGCCCTGAACTATATCCCAGCACCACATAAACCCAGTGGAGTGGTGCATGCCTGTGATCCCAGGACTTAGGAAGTAAAAGTAGGAGGATCAGGAATTCAAGGTCATCCTCAGCTACATAGCAAATTGATTTGAAGGCAAACCTAGGCTACATGAGACCCTGTCTCAAAGACAGAGATAGAGGCAGAGAAAGAAGGAGAGGGAGGGAAGAAAAAAGGGAGGGAGGGAAGGAAGGAGGGATAGAGGCAAGTGAGAGGGAAGAGAGAGCAAGAGCGAGAGGGAGAGGGAGAGAGAGAGAGAGAGAGAGAGAGAGAGAGAGAGAGAGAGAAATGGGTGGTATTTTTGCCCCATATGTGGATACCCTCTTCCAGCTGTTAAAATACTAAATCGTGGGCCAGGTGTGGTGGTGCACACCTTTAATCCCAGCACTCAGGAGGCAGAGGCAGACAGATCTCTGTGAGTTCAAGGCCAGCCTGGTCTACATAGTGAGTTCCAAGACTGCTGGGGCTACAGGGAGACCCTGTCTCAAAAAGACAAAAAAATATAAAAAAACCTAAATCGCTCCTTTGGGATTATGAATAACCATGCCCCAAACCTTCTGCCTCACCATCCTAGTTCCTCGGATTCTTCATAACCCAGGGACTGAGAGTGAAGATCTGGCCCTTAGACTCCAGGCCACTCCCTAGCCTACAATGGTTGTCTGTTCAAATTGACCAGTTTCTAAGCCAAGTTCACCATGCCTTTACCTCGAAGAATTTATAGTAGCATTTAAGACACAATGAGAATATGTCACAAACTCAGGTGAAAGTGGGCTAAAATGATAGCATGAATGAGCTTGCATTATGTGCAAAAATTACAAGAATTGCTGTCCTCCTGGCTAGGCCAACAAATACTTAAATTTTACTAGAAGGTCATTTTGTTTGTGAGAGAAAAGCATTTCCTTTCATAATTAACACATAAATAGATATCGTTTAGGATACTCATATCCAAGAAAATTTTTATTGGAAAATAAATATTCCATTACAAAGATACTTTGATATGCTTTTGAAACTCCCACCCACCCTGAACGCCTATTAAGAGGGCTCTTTGGAAAGATGGAAGGCTCTTACATACAGATGAGTAATTTGATGCTTTAGAAGATCCTATCTTGCAGATTCTTTAGCAGAAGCAGCAGTTCCAGCGAAAGAGAAATGCAAGCTTAGCAAGGTGTCCACGGTCCCCAGCGGGCATGTCTGGAAAAACACATGGAATCCTGCCTCCTGCAGTTTGGCTCCTATCAAAATGAAAGAGTGCCTGAGAGGAAAGTTCATTCATCTAATGGGAGATTCCACAATCCGCCAGTGGATAGAATACTTCAAAAGCAACATCAACAGTAGGTTTCAGTATAAACTATTACACACATCTCTTTCAGAAACTATTTTTCATTTCAGGAAGGAAAAAGAATACAGGAAATGCCTCCTCTTTATCACACTTCTTAATTGTGACAGTCCGAAATTTTTCATTTAATATTGTTATCATTACATTGAAACAATGTATTTATCTGCCTAGAAGGAAGCCAGTGTAGAAAAATATTTATTACAGGCCTTCATGCTAGAAAATTATTGGTGGAGCTAAAGATGATTTAAGATACTGAAGTCTCCCCCTTCTACAATTGTGCAGTGATTACAGATGTGGGTTCTAGTTGCAGATGCATTGAATTCACAACTTGACTTCACAATGTGTCTGGTGACCTTGGAAAAGTTGTATTATCATTTTGTCCCTCAAGTCCCTCATTTGTCAATTGGATATGAAGACTATCTGCTAAAATGAGAAAACATATGATGCATTCAGAAAACTGTCACAAAATAAGCCCTCTTTAGTGTAAACTGTAGCACATTTTCTGATGCAGATGCAGAGGTAAGAATTTTGCATCAGATACACACAGTGGTTCAAAGCACGGGGTTTAGAATTTAACAGACTGAGACTGTACCACTTAAACAACCACCTAGGGCGTGTTATTTATTTTCTCTGCCTCATTCTCTACATTGATCATTTAGAAATAATAGCAATACCTTGCTGTTTAGGTTGTTATTACATTTTAATTTTATTTAGTGGGGGGAGGAATGGCACCTGTGCCATCGCCCAAATGTGGAGGGCAGAGACAGTTTGCAGGTGTTGGTTCTCTCTTTCCAATATGTCCCGGGGATTGAACGCAAGTCGTCAGACTTGAGAGTAAGTACCTTCACCTGCTGAGCCATCGCACCCATCCTAGTGTTGCTTTGAATAAAACAAGGTGGCAGGTAGAGCATATTTAACACATTGCAAGTCACATTGACGCATAGAGAGCACTCAGAAAGCAACAGCAATTTGCAATCATTATCATAAGTTAGTGTCAGAGTTGGGGCTAGAATCTAGTTATGAGAACCCTAGTTAACCAGTTCTAGATGATCCAGTGCCCTTTTCTGGTCTCCTTAGGCATTGCATGACACAGGCATACTTACATACATGCAGGAAAAACACTCATATACATAAATATAAATTAATTAATTTTAAAAAACTATACCAGTAACAAGTCAGAATCCAATAATCAGTCTTAGCTAAATCACCCATAAGACCATCACTATGGCCTGTGTGGTGGTACACACCTTTAATTCCAGCACTCAGGAGGCAGAAGCAGAAAGATCACTATGAGTTCAAAGCCAGCCAGGGCTACATAGTGAGATATTATCTAAAAAAATAAATACAATAAAATAAAGCCATCACTACCTGCCTTTCCATGTCCTTGGTCCCTGGCTCTTGTCTGTGAAAACAGCGTAGAACTTTGGCTCCACCCTAGCCTCCTTCATCTGAGGCCAATCTAATCCTCTCAATGGAAGAGGTGGAATTGGTAGGGCCTGTGCTCAGGTTTCAGAAGTATTTCCAACAGAGGGAATGTTTTAAGTCATGAATTCTAGTAGATGGCCAATGCCTTGTGACCTTGTTTCTCACAGCTACAAAATCAAGGGCCTAGAGATAACCTTGAACATCTGAAAATGGGTCTCTCAAATCAAAGTATTGAGGTATTATTACTTTCCTTCTTCATCTCATTGTATAAGTTATAGTAGGAAGACATCTCTTGTATATTTTGTGAAAAGTTAAATTCTATGGTTAAAGTATGATTTGGGGGGAAAAAAAAACCCTGGAAGGAAGTGAAGAAAGTAGTTCTGCCGTTTTCCTCCAAAGATCTCCAGCATCTCTCTTTTGCAGGCTCACCTGCTTGCTTAATATTTCAAACATAGCCATTTCCTGCTGAGACAGAACAGGTTACAAAACATGAATGATCATTGACTATACTTTTACCTTGGACACTGCAGCCCTTAATTAGCTCACCTCATCATTCTGATAGGTTAGTTAGCACAATGAAAAAGTGAAGGAAGTCTTATTCTGTTCATATGTTCTTATTTTCAGTGTCAATATTAGGAAGACTTTCACAAGAATTGGGGGAAGGGGTTCATGCTCCTTTGGTAATTTGACTTCCTTTCTTGACTTTCTTTACACACACACACAAATATCATTGAGGCAAATGATTGCCTCAATCTAAAAAAGTGGGGTTTTTTTGGGGGGGTTGATGTTTTTAAATTTATTTTTATTTTATGTATATGAGTGTTATGCCTCCATGTGTGTGAATGCACCCATGTCAGGCAGTGCCTGAGAAGGATGGAGAGGGTATCAGATCCCCTAGACCTGGAGTTAAAGACAGTTGTTAGCCACCATGCGGGTGCTGGAATTTGAACCTGGGTCTTCTGCAAGAACAGCCAGTGCTGTTGACTCTGAGCCATCTCTCCAGCCCCTAAATAAATGTTTTGTGAAGAATTTTGCAAATGGGCAGTAATATTATTATCACTAGTGAAAATAAGGTACTCCGTGTTGTTCCTGCATACAGAAAGAAATAATATAGAACTTAGTTTTAGTCTTGTACAATAGTTAGAAAAATAAGTTAGTTTTATTTTTTGACTGAAAATAACAAGAATTAGTACATTTCCCTATTGATCCTCAAATCAGGTCAGTCTACAGCTAATAAGTCATACCAAAACAGTATGCACAAAACCAACCACATCAATCTCTGATGAAATTGATCTCAGTGCCTAGCCATCCCCTGTAAAATTCAATCTGAACGGTTCTATAGGAAGGCAAACTAAATCTCTTACAGTTTATAATGGTTTTTATTAGTCAAGTAATTTTCAGAACTACTCCCTAGTCAAGCCTAGCCTCAGTCAGATATGATTAGCTTGTGTAATGCTAGACACCAAATCTTTTCTATCTTTGTAACTTTCCTTTCCTTTCATTTGGGGCTATTTGCTTTCAGCACTGAAGTCTGTGGATCTGCATGAAACTGGAAAACTGCAACACCAACTTGCTGTGGACTTGGATGGGAATATCAATATTGAGTGGCAGAAACATGGTTACCCCCTCATTGGCTCATTGGTCTATTCCGTCAAAGAGATGGAGAACATCGCCAGGAAAATTGACAGAACTGGGGGAGAGAAAAATACCATCATCGTCATTTCCGTGGGCCAGCATTTCAGACCCTATCCTATTGATGTTTTTATCCGAAGGGCCCTCAACATCCACAACGCTCTTCAGCGTCTCCTTCTGAGAAGCCCTGACACGGTGGTCATCATCAAGACAGAAAACATCAGGGAGATTAGCAGTGATGTGGAAAGACTTAGTGACTTTCATGGCTACACTCAGTATCTTGCCTTAAAGGATATTTTTCAGGATCTCAATGTGGGCGTCATTGATGCCTGGGATATAACAATGGCATATGGCACAAATGATGTCCATCCACCACAGCATGTAGTTGGAAATCAAATTAATGTATTCTTAAACTATATTTGCTAGGTAACACATAGCTCTGAAAGTCATTCATTCAAGTAAAAAGATACAATGAATCCCACTAGCATACAAAGTGAGGGATGGGTTGAGCTCTGAAGTCCCAGTTAGCTTGAAAAGATAATCTGTACTGTGGCCCGTATGACCCACCAGCTCGGCCAAACAAGGTACTTAGATGAAAGTCAAAAAAGTCAATGAAAAGTCTTACCATTTGTTTGTTGGTTTGTTGGTTGGTTTGTTTTGACAGGATCTCATTATTCAGCCTTGGCTGGCCTGGAACTCCCCAGACTCACAGAGGTCGGCCTGCCTTTACCTCCCAAGTGCTACATTTAAAGGTACACACACACACACACACACACACACACACACACGTGTTCTACCCTTCTTGGTTAAAATTGCACTATGCTTCACCAGTGGGAAGCTAAGACTTCTATGGGTAAAATGTCTTCTTTCTGTTGCTACAAATTCAGAACAATAAAATAATTTTATATATGATCTTTTTTCTATCTTTTATTGAATTTTCATGCATTTCATACAATACATCTTGCTCATATTTAGACCCTCTCCCTATCTGCACCCCTGATGCCCTCCCCCACCAGATTTCATGTATTCTGCCATATAAGTTAAGGCCTATTGAGTTAAATTTGTGTCCCCAGATGTCCTTTAATGTGAATCCATTCACTGGAGCCGGGTCAGCTTATCTAGCATCACTCCCTTAAAAAAGACCAACTTGGAGCTGGAGAGATGACTCAGCGGTGAAAAACACTGGCTGCTCTTGCAGAAGACCCAGGTTTCGTTCCCAACACCCACAAGGTGGCTAAAAAGCATAAGTAACTCCAGTTCCAGGGTATCCAACAACCTCTTCTGACATCCTGGGGCACTGCACAACACGGATACACTTACATACATGCAGAGAGTACACTCATACGCACAAAAAAATAAGAATGATAGATAAAATATTTTAAAGAAGACCAACTCTCCCTCACCCAGAAATGAACAGCTGCCAATAGTTCCTCAGGTAAGGCTGGGGCCTCTTACCCTTTTGTCCAGTTCTGTGCTGGGTTTTTGCCTGGCTTGAGTTTGCATGGGTCTTGTGTATGTTGACACCATTGCTGTAAGCTCATATGAGCTATGATCTTCTTAAAGAGTTCTTAAATCCAGTTTGCAAGTATTTGTCAAGAATTTTTTCATCTGTGTTTATCAGGGATATTGGGGAACCCTGCTGCTAGGGTTGTAGTCCTCCATGTCTGGATAGCTCTAAGGGGCTTGGTGCCATATGGAAGGACTCCCCTTCTCAGAAGGGTGCCTCCTGCTCTCTTCCTGACTTACATGGAAAGTGCTGCCAAGCACGGACACCTGACCTTATTTGGAACATGACCTTTGGCGTAGTTACCCAGAGTAAAAACTAACCCCAGGTTCTTTCTATATGATAATTAGGCATTGCCCTGTAGTCGGACAATAGGAACCTACTGCCACATGTAAATAAAGCATACTATGAGCACCTATCAGCTGAGGCATTGGCTACTGCCTCCACACTATATTTTCCCTAGTTCTCCCACTGAATAAACAGAGCTGTTTCACTGAATCTGGAGCTGGTTCACTGAGTCTGGAGCTGTTTGCATCATTGAACATGCCTCCCCAGAAGAGCTTTCTTCTGTCCACTGACCATCCTGACCCAGCTAGTTGCTTCTGCTCCCTTTGTCCTCATGGAGCGGTGGCCAACCATCCACAAGGAGAGGGAGCTGGCGCCTGAAAGTGAGGCTCCTGGAACGCTGTGTGCAGAGTTTGTGAGTACCACCCCCCCACCAGGAGGGTAGCGGCAGCTTTGCCTTTAAGCCATCCCACCCTTGAGGATCAGCAGCCTCTCTTTTTCCTACCCCCTCCCACCAGGAGGGTAATGGAAGCTTTGCCTTAAAGCCATCCCACCCTTGAGGATTGGCAGTCTCTCCTCTTTTTCCTCCTCTTATTTTCAATCTGAGTCTTCACGTGGGACCATTAAAGATGAAGAAGAAATTGAAGCTTTCCGATCAGGGCTACTCCCTGATGTTAGCCAAAGGCTCTTAGCCCTCTTAATGGACCCCGACTGCCCACATGGGTGTAGACAAGACCCCCATCTATACATCTTTCTAATGCAAAAACCCGGTAACGCAAAGACCAGATAATTGCTCTTAGAGCAGTCGCCAGATCTCTTAAATTTGAGGGCAGGCTTGTGCTGTGGCCTACGTGGAATCACCTGGGGTTTTGATCCCAGGCATGTTCCCCTAGAAATCAGCATTTCACCCCACTTTCCTTTTCTATCTTGAACAACACCCCTAGAAAAAAATCCCCAAAGTTCTAAGGGATCTTTATATAGCCTTAAAGTCAACTTCTAAAATAAACTCCCCTAATCTGTTCTGTTATCTTGCCCCTGGGGTGCTCAAGCCCAAGCTAAACCAGTTAGGTGAAAATTTAAATTAACTAGCCCCTGCAGAGCACTTAAAAATTCAAGGTGGCTTGCACCATACAAATGAAAAAAAAAAAGATTTTAAAAAGCCATATTTTTTTTTCTGTAAACCTTTTCCTGAGGAAGGGGCTCATCAGAGGACCACCCCATCTCTCTTTCTCTTTGCTTTGTCACGGTTATTGCCTTTGCAAGGGTCTGGATACGGTTTGCTGGCAATTGAAGTCTCTTGGTTGGGGCAACTCCCCGATATTGACTGAAGGCCCCCTGCCCTCTTTCCGGACCCTGACACCCCGGCTGGGTGTAGGCAGTAACCTTTACAACTATCATAAAAATCTGGTAATGCAGCAACCAGTTAAAAGTCACAAGGATGGTTGCCAGTCCCTTAAATCTGCAGCTAGGCTTGAATCTGTCAAAGCGTCTCAATCCCCCATGGCAGGCTGCCTCGGGAACGTTGAAGGCCACTGACAACACTTCCTTTCTTTTCTATAATGGGTAATTCAACATCACACCAAAAAAACCTCCAAATTCGCTCCCTTAGAGCCCTACTTAAATCAAGAGGACTTAAGATTTCCCAAAAGGAAAGCTCAAAATTTTGGAATGAAGTATTTCAATTCGCACCCTGGAGCCTGTCCACAGATATTTCTGACCCAGAGGTCTGGACCAATGTTGCCTATCTGGCTCGTAAAAAGGAAATCCAGGAAAGGCACCATTTGCCCCTTACCTTCCTCCCCATAATAGTGGCTATTCCACAATGCTGAGAAACCCACCTAAGACTGAGGAAAACTTACTAGCACCAGGGGATAATAAAGGGGAGGGTTCAAACAATGAAAAAAGACCCTAAAGATTTCCCAACAGCAGATTCAACAGCCCTAAAAAATAAAGAAAAAAATCCTGAAGATTGCCCAGTAACAGATTCAACAGCCCCCAAAATAAAATTTGACCAAGTCAAACAAAACCCACCCAATAACAAAAATAGCCTTTACCCCCCCTCTTCCCCCCTGTGAATCCTCATGGACTGATTTAACAAACCCGGATGTTAAAACCCAGACTTCAAAAACTCCCAAAGATTCCCAGATAAATCCCCCTCCCCCTTCACCATCACCGGCGCCACCTGTGGTGCCATGTCCCACAGCCATTGAACAGCTCTGTAATCTCAGGGATAATGGGAGTTATTGCCCCCAGAATCTCCAGACACAATGGCCTCAGGACCCAAAAACCCCATCAGTAGAAGCTTTTCCCATTAACCTACAAATAACAAGGCAACATCCACTGGCTTGGTACCCCCTCCAGGCAGCAGACTTAAAAGAACTATGCCAAGCTCTCCGTGAGGATGGGATCCATGCTCCATGGACAAAATCTATACTACAAACCTTTAATACTAACTTCCTATCCCCCCAGGACTGGAGATATATCTGTAGATCCACCCTCCCCAGTCCATTATTTGTACAATGGGAGGATTTATTTAGAGATGAATGCCTAATGCAGGTTAAAAGAAATGACATACATAATCAACAACTAAGACCACAACAAGGGACCCCACACAGGGAAATTGGTCTGTAATTTTCTTTCTTTGTTGTGTCTTTATCTGGGTTTAGTAGCACGGCAATACTGGTTTTGAAGAGTAAGTTCGTTAGCGTTCCTTCTGTTTTTATTATGTAAACAGTTTGGGAAGGTTTGTATTAGATCTTCTTTAAAAGTTTAGTAGACTTAAGTAGTGAATCTGTCCCGTCCTGGACTCTTCTTCATAGAGAGACTTTTAATTATTGCTTTGATCTCACTACTTGTGGATCTGTTTAGCTTGTTTATTATATTTGGGATTTAATTTTGATAAGCCACCTGCTTTTAGAAATTTGTCTGTTTCTTTTAGGTTTTCTAGCTTTTTGGAGTACAAACTTAGAATCAACTAAAACAAAGAATATAGTAAAATACTGTTATAAAACTCATTATTTTGTCTGTTAATTTAAAAACAAATATAAATAAATAGAATTAAAATTTAAAAGAACACTGAAACAAGAATGAAGAATCTGAAACATTTTAGTAATTTTATTTTTTTAATTATTTAATAACCACATGATTAGAAGAAGCATTGCATTACAGCTTTAACATATTCAATAATAATTTCCAGAGCAAAGATACATTTCTTTCAAAAGTGGCAGTAAATTTACAGGTTCACAGTTGAATTAATATAGTTATACAATATTGATCTCAGTATAAACCCTATAAGACATAAAATTGAATGAAATTTTAACCTTTAAAAAAGATTTTCATTTCTTTTAAAAATATACTTTTTCCTTCAGAAAAAAAACTCATTTTTAATGATACTAACACTTAGATGTTTGCACATGCATCTCTAATCTCTATGCATCTGATTATTACTAGTCACAGTCAGTTACACTCGGATCCTTACCAACTGACTATGGATATAAAATCATCAGGTAGATTTCAATGGTAATGTTTTTCCTCCTCTACTAATTAACATGAATAATTCTTTTATGCTTCTTCCCCAAATATAACTCATTTTTTAAATTTGTTGATTTTGTGTGTGTGTGTGTGTATATCATACAGAACATCCCAAACAATTTTATTCATTTATATACCCAATTTCCAAATGGCACCCTCCCATAGCCTACCCCCCCACTGGAGCCCATATACTCTGTCATCCCTGTTACTGTCCTCTGTGTTGTCGACGCCCCCAGCATTCCCCAGTACTTGTTCATTCACTGAATCTAGTCAGCCTATCTAGAGTTCCTTGTTTTAGGAAGATCAGTTCTTCCTCATCTGGCAGCAATCAGTTGCCAATATTCCTTTAGGT